CGGAGGGGAACGAAGCATTATCCCTGCCATGCTGTCGAATAAAAGGACTGAGAGCGGAAAAAGAGGTAAGACTCAGATCCAGGCATGTGATGACAGCTATCTAACTGAGCCGTCGCTCACATTTTCTTTGTAAATCAAAGGAAAAATATATACAAACATATCAAATAACCAAAAACCATTAGAAAAAACCTATGGAAAATAACCATGTTCCCCAGGTAATACACTCGGAATTGGAATAGCAAAATCACATAGCCATTTTCTTTTTGGGTAAACTTTGTCCCAGATTTTTAGGAGGGAGGATGATGGAGAGAGTAAATCTGGTTACATGGCCAGCAGTGCAGCAGGTCATTCCCCATAATATGTTAATGACTGTGTTGTCAGGGGGGCAGGCAGGATATAGAAGAAAAAAAAAAAAATCCTGATAAAAAGACAGACAGCTATTCGCTCCACTAATCCGGCAGTGAAAGGGAGCGGCTCGCTGCAGCAGTTTCTTTTATGCTCTGCCGGTTCCACAGGGGGATCAGCACAACGCTGAGCCAGCACCCAGCGCACCCTCACCGGCCCTGCCGCCCCACAAACGCTGCGGATTACCTCATTATATGTCTGTTCACCCATTTAAGCCTACCGGCAAACACGGCTGCCAAGATGGGCAGTTTCTTTTTGGGTGACGTGATGTGCCCTCTATTAGTCCGAAACCTGTCTATCCGGCAGAGGTTGGTGGAGAAAACCTCCCAAAAAGAGTACATTTTTACTTGAGCAGTAAAGTGATGCCCAGTTGTCGTAAACTCATGTGTTAAATGTAGTATAACCACTGCAGATCGCAGTTTGTTAGTGATTTTTGTTCTAGAATGTCATTTTGAGATGATTAAATGATAATACTAATAGAACAAATGATTTATAACCTGAACCCCAAGTTAGTTTTTGACTTTGTATTAAATGTGTTGGCTGACATCTTTCTGTCGGCCCATTTTTCTTCTGTCAGTTCATTTTGGAATGGTGTTAAATCATTCCTGAAATCTATCCAGGAAAAATGTATCCTAGTATCCTAGTAGTTCCATATCAATTAGTAATTTGCTCGTTAGTTATTACTTCCTGCTTCAGACAGCTGCCTTTCCCTAGTCTGATGGAACCTTTTAGATACTGGCTATCAAATTAACTTTATCAAATGACATCATGTGATTTAACAAATCCACGTTGTTCCCCATGATGCTAACTGGGTAATGTTAGCACCTTTACAGCTGTTACATGTCAGTTTTAGATTTCAGGACAGAAAGAACAAAAGGGACAATTTCGGGGAAATTAAAATTCCGTCATAATGCAAGATTCAACTGAAAACTGTTTCAACTGTCGGTCTTCAGAGGTGCACCTTTAAAATGTAAACATGTGTATCAATTTAATGTCTATTATATTTATACAAACATACATATATAACATTAATCTGTCTTTATACTCTTTTTAATTTCTTGCTTGCTTGGAAATGAAGTCAGCCATTGGCCAGGCTTTTGTTTCCTAGCAACGGTGACATCCCACCCATTCAGCATTAGGATGAGCCACATTTGATATTTAGATGATGAGGGGAGACACTGCGATTGGGTAGTAGAGAGAGTAGTTGGAGAGGAGGGAATTCCTTTCTCATCTTTTCTGCTATCTTAACACTGAGTACTGTGGGAAAAAGTGAAAGCAGGATTATTTCTCATCTGCTGAGTAGTCAACGTTAGCAGAAAAAGACTTAATCATCGTCCTCATAGAAGACTCAAACCCTTCAAGATTAGTTGATTAGGGTTACTTTTGCCCATGTAGTTACCAAATTTATCTGGATATGTGCCTTTTTACTTATTTATTTAATAATATTCATTTGCTTTTCTTCCCGAAAATTCCCGATTCCCAATCTCACAATTCTCTCGGAAGATAAAATCATTGATAAATACTATTTATTTTTGTCACTATGTAAGAAATATTAGCGTTGTGATTGTTTACCTGGTTATTTCTCCCAAGTGGCCTTGGGCTTTTTCAAACCAATTTGTGTCTTAACTACATAAATATGTAGTTAAGAAACAAATATATCCCAAACCAGTGGAATACCACTGTAATTGACTCCTATCTGCTGTTATTATTGTCAGCTGGGGAACCTTATCTAATTTGCTATTTATGTATTGGATTATTTTGGAATTGAATAAACTGGAATCGATCTGACCACGGCTGTGTTATAATTAGTTGGATTCTATTTATTTCCCCCAGAAATGGCTGGAGAGGTTGTCCTTTAATTCACATTTTCTTTTTCCTTCTGGACAATTTCACTCTGAGGTTATGGGACAACTAAATGAGAGTTTGAGGTGATCAGGGAGGTTATGAATAGAAATTTACAGGTCCTTCTTCAACTGAACATCATGATTACGAGGGGATTTTACTCTTTCCTGCTCTGATTATAGCTCTATTGTGCCATTAACTGTGATCTCCAGGAGGCAAGAACATATGATCAGATGGAGGAAGAATAATGATTTTTTGGTCTTCATATTGATGGATTGTTCTTAATCAAATCCAAATGTGTGCACAGATAATGTTAAACTCAAGTTGACTTAACGGAACTCTTTCCTTCCACGGTATATCTTGGGATCCTCCTTTCCTCTGCTGTCTCCTTGTCCTCATCGAACCTCTAATCCCCCCCCCATCCCCTCCCCGGTCTAATCCCCTTCTGCCAAAGGAGGACTTGGGTGAAAAGCAGGGACAAGCGTAGGGATTGATATCAAACGTTTAGTTGATATATGAGTCGGACAGGAAGGACGGTTCTGCTTTATCAAGCTTTGTCAGTGTCCTTGGCCGAGGACCTGACGGCGGGGAGAAACAAACAGAGGAGATAAACCAGGATGCTCCAGCTGCCTTTCACACTTCTGTCCCAGACCTCTCACAAAGTATCTGGAGGCCCAAACGAAATATGTTTTTATCTATTACCTCTGTTTTTTTGGTGAAGTTAATTTACAGCTTGTTGCCAGAACTCTGTAACTTGTGTTGGAACCCCTATGATGAAGTTTGATAGATTAATTTGATTATTTGATAGATTAGAAGTTTGATTATTACTACTAAGTACTGTCTAAGTCTAAGTCTAACATTAGAACCCGAAGTGAGATCATTCTAAGGTTATTTGCTGCTTTTTTATGTGTTTTGTGTGTGTTTCAGTGCCCCGATGCTACACTGAACGTCTTTTAACCTTTTTTGGAGGTGGGATTTTTTAGTAAAACACAGCGTCAATAGTAGATGTGTGTTTGTGTGTGTGAATCCAAACAGTGTGTGTGAAAGGAGTGAAGCAACCCAGTAGGTGACTCTATATTGCCCTCCATCGGCACTAGAACGTCATTACTGCAAACACAAATGTTTTCATGTCATGAACGAGATCCCATTTCGTCGTTTTATTAAAACTGGTCGGTATCGCATCATCATTTAACTTTCAGTTCTTTGTCAGCTAGTTATTACCATTTAGCTGAAAGTAATCTACCACACACCGTCATACAAGTATGTTATTTTGGATTTGTCGTAAAATTCTGTTTGTTACCTTAAAGTAAATAATTAGTACTGCACAAGGAACCTCTACACGTTTCCTATATGCATATAAGCTTGGACATATACAGGGCTTAACAAATTTACTGGATCATCAGTCTAAACATGATTTTTAAGAAACCAAAACCTGTTTTTAACTAAAAATTTTAGTGTTATATTTCTGTTTTGGTTTATTTCACAGACAATTTCCGGAAACAGCTGACACCCCATCCCTTGTTTGTTTTTAATCCACTTTTTTAAATTAAGTTCCACATAGTTTGTCACTGTTCCCACAGACTTCATTTTGATTTAAACCTTTGTGCCATCAGACTTTGGATCTGCTAAATCCCGACTGGACTTCGGACTGGGCTCCTCCCGTCAGGTCCAGTGCTCCGGGTGGACGTCCAGTGGCCTCTGAGCAGCCGTTTTTTCCCCTTTAGGCCTTCTTCCATCAGTCATTTTCCTCTGGTCTCTCTGGAACTCTGAACTACAGGCCAGCATCTCTGCCTGACGTCTTCAGGTTTCTGACCTCTGCTTCAGTTAATGTTTGTTTCCTGCATAATTTAAAGAAATATGTAGTTCTCTGTAATAGACTTCAAAGCCTACTTGATCACAGAGAACACTTTTGTCTTTGACAATCCAGCCATCAGGCGCTCTTTTATTTGCATTCAGTTCTATGTTTTACCGTCGTAAACTATTCAGGATTTAGAATCCATTTTTTCTACTGAAATTACAGATCACTAGGTTTCTCTTAATACAAATAATGCAGCAAGCATAACATTCAGCCATTCAAAGTTTTCTGTGAATCAATGCAAGTAAAAAAATATTAATTTGGCTTTTTTAAATTCTAAAATAGTATATTTTAAAATTGCATTGATAACAATAACAATACTTTAGTGCTTTAAAACATAATTTCAGCCAAACAGCGTCTACATGAGTTTGTATTAACCATTCCAGAAACATAACACAGTTATTTTGTAGACTCCTTTGATGAGAGTGTCAGTTTATACAAAACACAGACAGGCAGAAGGCGCCGGTATGTTATTTGTTTTTATTCTGTTACATGTGACCATAAACCTCAAGGAACGTACAGTTGCCATGGAGATACAGTAAATATATTCTGGGTACTCGAACAGGGGAGGGGGGGGTTTGTGTGCATGAGTGTGTGTGCACCAGTTTCTGACCGCTGCGTGTGTTTTGAGTAGGATGTCGTGTAACACGGAGTGGAGTCAAAGAGGAGAGAATGAATTTTTTAGCAGTTTTAAATGAAACAAACAAAAAAAGAATCAAACAAAAAAACTGAAAACAATGATCTAAAACTATTAGCTGAAAAAAAGAGCAAAATAAACAAAACAAATGAACACATACAAAAAGAGGAATAAATAAAACGTTATTTCACAGACGCGGCAACAACAGCAAAGACATAAATTTCCCTCGAAATTTGGTGTTAGACGGCAAGAGAGAGAGAGAGAGAGAGAGAGAGAGAAAGAGAAAGAGAAGGAGGACAGTGGAGAGGAGATGTCTCTCTCCCTTCCTGTGGCAGGATCAACATCCAGGAAAACAAAGAGTGCGTTACTATGGCGACACCTCAGGAGGGGAGGCAAGAGCTGAGTGGAGAGGCGACCCGTGGAGTGGGACTCGTTTTCTAAGGCTTCATATGGCACGTCCAGACCGGAACAGCTGGAGCCCCGGTCCCTCCACTGACCCCCCCCCCCATCCCCCTTCTCCTTTCCTCCCTTTTGAACTCGGACTCTGTCTGTATGCTCCACATTCAACCTCCCCACAGGACTCCCGCCTTCTTTTCACTTCCTCACCTACCCTATACCCCCCCACTCCCCACACTCCCGCCCCCCTGTCTGACTCTAGAAGGCACTGGTATGTACTTATTTCTCCACATTCTAACATCTGGATTCTGTACGTAAGATGAGCGACTGAGGCAGTGAACGGAAACGTGCATACAGACGCACTCGGGCCAGCCGGGTCACTTCCGGGAGAGCGAGCGGGCTCCCGCCGATGCTACTAGTCTCTCTTTCTACCCCCTCGTTTTTTTCGTCACTTAACAGTCTTATGACAGCGGAGGCAATCAGATATGTAAACGTCGACAAGGCCAGCGTCATGACAGGCGAAGAGATGTACAAAATCAAAGCTCAAGTGCGGTAACTGAAGTGGTTTGGATCTTTTTTTTTTTCGGTGGAAAATTTCAAACAACTAAATGATATCTGCTTTAAAAAGGTCAAGCTGGGTTGTGAAATGTTGCCTCCACCCGGGATGGAAAACCAGCCGGCTATGGGAGGCGGATCCGTGTCAAACAAATCTCAAATCTCCTTTTGTTTCAATGAATGAAGAGTTTTTTTGGGATGTGACGTTTTTTTTTAAAGCTGGTTTTCGAAGCTGTTTTGATGTTTTAATGGAAACTTACTGTACGGCGTACAGTCGACTTGCTCTTTTGGACTTATCCTTTTTCCAAGATCCTCTCTGAGACTTAAAAATACATATGCCAAACTTGGTATCTCTAGTTGGAAATGTTTCGTGTGGGAATGTGCTTGAATAGTTCTTTTTTTTTTTCTCTTCTTCCCTTTAACCCATGTCCACGTGTGCGCACGAAGCGGTGCATGGAAAGACAGAAGAAGACAGATCAGAGAGGTCCGTGCACGTGGCCAGTGTCTGGACAGCCGGTCGCCCATCCCAGTATTTACACAGTGAGGAGAGGGCCGACCAATTGGATGCTCTGGGGTTTGGCTGGTACTGGCGGACATCTGGAATGGTTCAGTTCGATAATGGTGGCGGCTGGATAAAAAGAGCCTACGCTAAACGGTTTGTTTCTAAGTTTTTCCTGCTGAAAATCGGAGGCTCGACGGAGGCGGCGGTCGCTCTGGATCGGCCCCGAGGACGAAAGCACAGGAGTCTGCGGCTACACGCTAGTCGGATATTCTACTTGTATTTCTGAATCAAACTGCCATTTAAAAGTGACATTTAAGGCCCTTCTATATGTCAACTACGCACCATTGGACACGACTATCTTAGTTTCTTTTTGTTGACTAACAGGGCAGTGGTCACTGGAGTAAAAAAAAACAACGAAAAAAACAAACAACTGACAATATCAAGAGATTATAGATTTGTGAAACGCAGAAAAGAAAAAATCTGACATTTCCAGTGCATTTGTGCCTTATAGAAAATCCTGTACAAAGGGGCTTTTTACTAACCACCATGTTGGTTACATAGTTTCTACCGCATCCTTTTTAAAATATCTGACCTTTTGGGTTTTTTATTGTTTCAAACAATGGCTTAGTATGTGGAAAAGGTGGACTTTAGACATACTGAGATCTTAGTTTTTTGACGCTTTATGTCCTTATCTTCCATTTTCCACATTTGGAATCCACAGCTAATATTAGAGGATCTGAAAACACGCAAACGTCACATAGATTGGACCACATTGTTTATCTCTCCCTTCCCATGTTTTTTTTTTTCCATTTCTTGAAACTTCTATTCACAAAGAACGCACTAAGAAAAGGGAAAAAATATTTTGTTTTCAAAAAAAAAAAAAAGGGCATTAAAATCAAAGGAATCTGGCTCGTCTGTCATAATCTGAGCTGTGGTCCTCGTTCCCGCGTTAAAATGGATCCCTGTCATTTTGAAGCAAAATGCGTTTCAACAGAGTGGAAACAATCTGTTAGATAAAACAAACTTTAAACAAAAACTCCTTTAAAAAAAAAAAAGAAAAAGATGGCTGTTGTCTTTGCCCCTTACGACGAGGCGAATCAAGAAGCTCCGGAACGGACGTCAAGAGCAAAAAAGAAAACAACAACAAAAAAACAAAACACTCCTTCAGCGACTTCTTTTTTCGCCGCTCCTCTTTTCGCTTGAAATCTACGGATCTCTCTTGAGATTTGGAATGGCCTGCTAACAAATAAATAAGAGTTTTTTTTAAAAAGTCTCTACACGTGGAAGATTCTGCCTCTCTGGACGTGAGTATACGGGTTTAATAAAGACAGAGAAGAAGACGTCCGGAGGAGCCGGCGGCCACTTCTTTGTGAGCGGCTGAGTCCAGGGCTCTCCGCTGTGTTTTTTTTTGGAGCCTGTCTCGGGGGGCCCATCTCCACCCCCTGTGGATTATGGCTGCTACTTGAAAATGTAGTTGATCAGAACCTGAAGGACGATGAGGAAAACTATGATGACGTAGTCGCGCTGCTGGAGGAAGGAGCTGCTCTCCACGCGCGACACGGCGCGACTCCGCAGCACCGTGATGCTCCTGTAAACACGGTGCGGGAAAAAATACAGAAATAAAAAAAATGAAAAGAAGATGGAGCATTGGATCACTATGATGGAACCGAGCGCTTAACATCTCACCTGTTGATGTCTTCCTGCGTCTTCTTTATAGATTCAATGGCACTTTGAAGTTCACTGAGGTCGGCACCTTTTTTCCTTATCCGACTGTTATGTTTGCTTTTGTGTCCTGTAACCAAACACATTGGAGACGACGTTTGCCGAGCTGACGGGCTTGATGTTCACCCTCGTGTTGCCTCCCTATTTGTTTCGTCCTCAGAGGGCAATCCGGCCTGTGTTCAGGCATGAGGTGATCACCAATCATTCTAAATTGCCAATAGGAGGGAATCTGGCTGTGTGTTTTACCCTTTTTAAAAAAATATATATAGATAAGGTTTAACCTTTTTTTGGTGTGCATTTTTTCTTTTTTCAAGATATATGGGATTAGTAAGACATAATAGCTTTAATAACTAGACTCTATCATTGTACAGGTAGTTTTTCGTCAAATAGGCTCAGTGGGTTTATCTTTATATTTAAGATGTTTGTTTATATATTTAATTAAATGTTTTTGCAAGTTGGTCCAAGTTACTTATTGACAAAATTTGAATTACACCATAAGAGACAGATTAGTTGAAACAGTATAAAACCCTTTTCAAACAGTAGTGTCTGATAGCGTTTACTATGAGGCAAAGAGGTCAAAGTCGAAAGAAAAAAGAAGTATCATGGTAAAGAGATGCAGAAATGCAATGTCCTCATATGAGGACGCTGGGTCTCAGGAGGTTAATAGAAGTAATATGAGCTCTATTAGACCTCAATTTTTTGGCAAATAACAATCATTTTCACGGATAAAGAAGGAAGTATACCGTTGAAACATGTACGGTATGATTTGACTGGCAATTGCATGTCAGGTAATAGAAGAGCCTAAAGTTGTTTGGTATAACAGTCCTAATTTACATGAAATTATACCTTTCTTTAATGTATTAGTAAAACGTCAGGAATGATCAATTATTGTTAAACCTGTGGAAGAACGTTAGAGAGTCTCAACCTCTCATTTTGTCACAAGCGATTACGCTGCTTATCGCAAAAACAAATCATCCTTCTCATGCATTCATTTTCTTAGGTGCTGGGAAACACCCGTGCAAATGTTTCTTTCCAGTTAACTGTCCTCAACCCCTTTGATTGATTTAATAGATAAAGCAACTATCAGTCACACCCAGATCATTTTTAAAGCTTTTCATTGCAAAGGAAAGATTCAAATAAAGGAGTTTTGAAAGAAAACATTTGATTCGGTTTGGCTGAATATGGCCTTTAAGTGGTTGGAAATGATTGTATTTTCTCTGTGTCAGTATGGGAGGGGACAGTAAAAGAGTGCAGACTCACGTTCGCTGCCAGACGAGTCTTGGCGGTCAGGCTCCGGTGAAGAGCAGCCACTCTCTGGGCTCTTGGGCTTGTCGCTCTTGTGCTTCCTCTTTGGCACCGTTACCTGTTCCGATTGGCAAATTAACGCACAGTCACAAAACGACTGTCACGAATATAAAATCAAGAAATAAATCAGCATTGGTTTTAAACATACGTTTCGATAAAGAAGGGAAAGAAGAAACAACACAATTATTATGTTATGAAGCAACATGCTAGCATGGACACTCAACAATAGCAAACACGAATTCAAAAATGAACAAACCTGCCAAGAGCGGGCAAAGGAAAACATTTCATAGAGATGCAAGTGTTGAACATTTGAGACCCTTATAAAGGTTTTATCTCAGTGAAGAAATGTTAAGATTATTAGATACTCTACATAGCTTTTTTAGCGCCTAGTGCTATAGCGAGAAAGCTGTTTGACTTTGACTCCGATGATAAACAGGTTACTAGGACTGCCTTCTGTCGCCTTTCCAATTTTTGCCAAATTTAGGGACATCCAGGGTGTCGAAAATCCATAATGCTGCGTGAAAATTAGCAGGAGAGAGTCAATTTCTCCAGGTATAGCTTCTCTTCACTGGTTGCCAGTTAAATGCAGAATATAATCTAAAATTCTACTCCTCACCAAACAAAGTTTAAATGACCATATCCTAGATATTTTCCCAATGGAGCACTTCACTGTCAGACTGTCTCTCCACTTGTGGTCCCTGCAGTTTCTAAAAGAAGGGTGGGAGGCAGAGCTCCTCTCTAGGGGAGCCAGCTGCCAATATATCTCCAGGAAGCAGACACCCATGTTTACCTTCAAGATTAGTCCTAAAATGTTCCTTTTTGACAAAGCTTACAGTCAGGGGTGGCCTGAGGTGACCCTGAATCACTGGACGTCGACACTAAAACAAAAGTCAGGCCTGTCCCACAGACTGGATTTGAAGAGTCAGCACTCTTTCTACCTTTTAAAAAAAAGAAAAGTAATAACAACATTAAAAAGTATACAAAGAACTCCTTCGCTGTTTTAAATTGGCTCTGCGTGTGCTAAATCTATTTGGAATTTATTAGATTATTATTGTACCTAAAGATGACCTTTGTTGTGGTTAAGCACTATAATAATTCAATATTCAATATATTTCTCTATAAAGGTCATCAAAGTTGTTGATTATTCTGATCCTCGAGAATTAGCAGATAATGTGAAATTAGACTGAAATGAAGCTTTTGTGTGTTCAGTCTGTGCTGTGGCAGCTGGTTGGGAGCAGATGCCGTAATTCATTTTAAAGGCAGGGAATGTGTGCTTGGACTGGGCTGAATCTGGGACATGGCAGCCTCCTGTACTTACTGAAGGCAAGATTCTATATTCTCTTTTACTCATTTTAAGTACTTTTCTCACAAAATACATATCATGGGTACTTTGAGGTTGTCTAAAAAAGAAATCTGAATTTTTTTAAGGTCCACAACACATCACGATGTTTTGGGGATGGATTATATGCTATCTAAGCCCTCTTCTCGTTCAGAAGAACTAAACTCTGACTGAACTGCTTTTGTTAATTTTTTTTTTTTCTTAAATAATTCTACATTATGAAATTGCCACCCCCGATCAATCAATTCTTTTACCGGGGATTTTCAGGCTTGAGAGCGAAAAAGTTAAATGATGGAACATCAAAATATTCATCTGTGTAAAAGGCAATCTCCTAGGAGCTTGAATAAATAGAACTTGCTGTCCAGCCCTAAAGATTATCATGACCTGAATAACCTAGAATTCACACCCATATAGCCAGACGGGTATTTTCTAAAAAAGCATTACTGGCAGAACTACAACTTTTTAGCAGTAATTGAAGGCAAAAAGGTGTACTTAAATAGGAAAAGAGGCATTTTGAAAGTAATAAATATAGGGGGATTCTTTTAAGATGTGCCCTTAACAGATTTTAGGTGGCTGAATAAATTTTCATGGACAAAAGAGTGAATTTTGTTTTCTTTATCTATTATAGGGATTCAAACTTGATATACAGTATAGGAAATGACCTGAAGCTAAACCAACACTTGAAGTAACTTATTGTTGATAGTTGTACATTTTTCTACAAACAACCTTACTGACTGTTGCTCTTGGCATGTTGTTACTTTGAACTCAAACATGCAAAGACTGACAGCTCAGAAATAGGCTTTAGTCTAACAAAAAACGGTCAACTAATAGAAAGTCAGTTAAATAAAATCTAAAATAGATTACATAAAATGGAAAGAAACAAAAATGGAGGTGAGAATGATGAGAAACAGGTGCCAACCATGTAGACAGTCTGTTGCCAAGGAATGACCAAGGAATAACCACCTTTTAATCTTTTTGGCTTATTAAGATACACTGAAATAAAATAATGAGCTAAATGACACCAACACAATAAATAAAAGCTGAAACGAATTCATTAGTCATTATTTCTTTACAATGTAAATCGACGGAAACCTCACACATTTTTTGTCCATTTGGGTAAAGTTTCCTCTTAATCTGCCTGTCTTTATCTACACCGGTAACATTTAAGTTAAGGGATGCAGTCTGTCTCTACTGGAACAAATGAATAATGAAAATCTCTCACTGGGGGGTGAAGACCATTCAATCTGTGATCACTTGGACTAAAGTGTCTGTGGGGCTTTTCCAGTGGCTCCTGCATGTGGTTCTCCCAGTGCTTTATAAGCCAATCTTCAAATTCACTTTGAAATATTATGAATTGATGTTAAATATTAGCTCTAAAGCGTCTCTGATAACTAAATCTCTCAGTCATTTTGAAACTGGGAGATTCTGGACTGTGATGTAGAAGAAGTGATCTTTTTTCCCCCCCAACTGCAGTCTGCTGATTGTGCATATAGTGTAAGGAAATATTTTGTTTTTAGGATATTATGGCGTATTCTAAGAAAAGGGTCTGCAGGTGCACATGACAGATGGTAAAGGATAATAAGAAAGGATAATAAAAATGTAAGAGCGTCTGTGTATATATATATATATATATATATATATATATATATATACACACAAACACATATACATATATATATATACACAAACACATATATATGTATAAGGATGTACGTCATATATTATATTTAATATATTTGAATATATGGAAACAAAAACCCTAATTGTTGGCATGAAGTACTGACAGTGGCATTTAAAAAGTTAAAACGCTAAACAGTTTTGAATGTTGTTGGCTTTGATCAGGACTGCAGTTGTAAAAAGGCAAAAAAAATAAATGTTAAGTTTGATAGCAGTTTTTTGCATGTAGCTATTGAGGTCAATGTTAAGGGTAGTAAATTAAAGTGACGGTTTATCAAATGTAACAACTAGTTATCCACTTCAGCAGTCAGTGACAGAGAACGAAGGAGGAAAAGACACGACAGAAGAAGAACGGCAGGCAATGACGGTGACGTCACAGCAATGATGAGCACAGAGAACGGAAGCGACGATGGAGACGTTTCACTGGATGCAGTGTAGAAGATGGCTGAGGTGGCGAGATGCTTTTTTTAAAAAAAAAAGTTCGGTTTTGATCGGGACAACCTACCTGGCACTTGCAATTGTCCCTCCGCGGTCCCTGGTTACTCAGACTAATAAGACTGCCAGAACGTACCATAGGGGTGCGGTGTCGGACCTTGGTCTGGATGCAGCCCTCTTTCTCAAACTGGATCAAGTCGTTGAGCGGATCCCAAGGCCGTGTGCTGAGGAAGGGATATCATAAACAAGGAGAGGGGAAACGAGAATGTATGGATCAGGTGATCAGGAAAGAGACAGAAGAATGGAAAAATAAGTAAAAAAGGAAAGAGTACACATCGGAATTTTCACACAAAAGATAAACCATTATTCATGAGCAAAAACTTTTTTTATCATTATATCATGCTTACAGTAACATTTATAACGAGAGTTCTAAAGTTTATAAAAAAGGTAATTCTTTAATAGACCTAATCATTTGAGCAAGGTGGTTTTGATATATTTTTTCCTTAAAAAACTAGCGGCATAAAAATCTCCACTGCAGTTATAGGAAGACACCACTAGATGGCAGTAGACAGCCACAACAACAAGAAATTGAATTGCACAAGAACAGAATTTTAAAAAGTGGAAATTTGGAGAGAAAAAAGAATACAAAAGACTTTTGTGTCCTCAAGTGACTAGAGTGAAATTATACAACTTTGAGTACTCCAGCCGAAGACGATTATTTTAAACACAAAATTTATGGTTGGATTTTGTTTGTTCTGCTTTCAATTGTCTTTATATGCATAATAATAATAATAATAATAATAATAATAATAATAATAATAATAATAATAATAATAAGTAAAAGAACTGTTAAAAATAAAAATAAAAACAGAACCAAGTGCAGCACATCACACAAATGCAGTCCAAAATTATTTGACACGTCTGAGCATGTTTGCTGTTATATCCGGAAGCACAGTCAGAGAAACTAACAACTTTTCTATTAGCACACACATAAAAAATATTCATGGTTCTGAAAAAAAACTACAGGTATAAGTAGATATAGATGATTAAATACCTCTTGCTTTTAATCTTAGTATTGTCTTTCCATTTACAGTACAATGCACCTTTTGTTCTCACTGGTCTTTTTGGACTACTTAAAAGGCAATATCTATTAAAAAAAAATCAATCAATGCACATGTTTCCACTCATTAAGATCTATTCATTTTTGTAATATATGGCTTGGGAAACTGAATTTACTTTAAATTATAATCAGCCTTTGAGGCAAAGGAAATTAAGGCCTGGATTTAGAAAGTTTTTTTTTTGGTTATGATCAGAGGCATACAAGTGTAAAACCCACCAATGGTTATATATGTCAACTCCCCACTTTTGACATTACATTTTTGTAATTTATAGCTTACTTGAACTATTTTGTATTACAATGTGCCCCACTTTGTTTTTGTTTCTTGGTAAATAAAAAATAACTGAATGTATTATTTATGGAACATATGTGCCATTTAAGGCAATTCTATGAAAGGAAACTAATGTTATGATATATCAACTATTGGGACGAGCCAAATTAAGCCAAAGCCGACCAGAGGGTTAAAGTAGCCTTCTCAGTTTACCGAACCCATCAGACTCACTCAGCGTATCTGTAATGCCACTCCCCGGTGACGGGGTCCTGCTCGAACAGGCCCGGGACCCAGTCCTCGCATTTGGCTTTGCGCTCGCGGGCCGACTTCCTCTGAGCTTCCTCCAGGATGAACTTCTCGTTTGTGGCCTCCGTCTGGTCCTTGTTGTTGATGGCCCGCGTAACGTGCTGCCACAGCCTGGTGGGGCAGAGCAAACTGCATTTATTTCCCGTTTGAGGTGAAAAGAAGAAGAAAAAGAAGAAAAAAAAACTCGCTCAGAAAGTGCACCTTTCGGACTCAAGCTCCCCCTGCTCCTCCGGTGGGACGGTGTGGCGGATCAGCCTGCTCTGTCTCAGGTCTGGGGTGGGGTTCCAGAAAGTGTCCACCATCCCGGTCTTCTTGTCATTGATGAAGATTTCACTGTCCTGTGACACACAATTCATGTGTATGAGTGCTAAATATAGCAACACTCGCTTCATGAGGTATCCAGGAAGCATGGTTTTCAAGGAGTGCACACATAACGATAGTTATCCATCTGGGAATCAGACACCCTCTCTACACTTAAGATTAGGCCTAAAATTATTCTGTTTTGACAGAACGCACAGTTAGGGGTAGCTCATGTGACCCTGACACATCCCACAGTTATGCTCTATAGATCTAGACTGCTGGGGGACCTTCCCTGATGCACCTCTCCTCATTCTGTTCTGCTTTTTCTCCATGTACATGTCCTGTTATTAACATGTGTTTCGCTTTCCCAACAGGTTTCTCTAAGCTGATGTTATGGTATTTGTTCTTCTTTCCTGTCCCAGCAGGTCGATACAGATTGGATCAAAGAGATTAATTTGGAATTTACTGAACTGAATTGATTTGTTCTCAATGTTATTAGAATAAATTGAATTGGATTGTATCCCTGAAGTGCCTAAAGATGCGATTTGTTATGATTTGGCACTTGAAGCACTTTGGAACTTGAATTGTACATTTGAGTACCTTCTTCAAGATACTCAGTGATCCTGGACAGCTGACCTGGGATCATTTCTACTTCCTTCTATTTCAGTATAAATAATTTTTTTTCAATTACTCTCGTTAAACACAATAACAGGTATGTTTTAAGTACCCTCAACAAGACACCCATATGAGGCTTTATTCCATGCATTCAAAGAAACGTAACATATTCAAGACACATACAATAAAGAGAAGTAGAGGTAGCTTTTGTTTAATTTAATGCTGGAAATCAGTCTTACCCAGTGTCCCTCTAGCGTAGCCAGCACCTCTTTTCCGAGCTTGATTTTTCCAGAGAACTGATTGACGCAGTCGCTGCTGCCAAGGAAAGGCTGATGGAGAGAGAGAGGGAGAGAGATAGACGCAGGTGAAGGGACACAAGCAGAAGGGAGAAGGAAGGAAGAGCGTTGGGAACATGGAAGAGGCAAGGAACATATCAAATTAAGAAGAGTGCCAAAGAAAAGTTGGGGAAGCAGGAAGAAGAGAAGAGAGATTTAAGGAGGAGAAGATAGGGAGAGAGATATGCACATACAAAAAATGTCCCGTTATTGTTTTTTTCTGCATTTGTGTGTCAGAAGTGTGTTGAAACGAAACAACTGACCGGTTTCCAAATGTTTTACCGACATTAAAAGGCAATATGTCAAGAGAAACATGTTCTGCAGGCTTGAACAGAAGCTCATTATAATGTCACAGATTCAGAACCAATTCAGTGATGAAAGAAAGAAAAACAGCTAATCAGAGGTGTGGAAATGTTGGATTCTGAAATGCGTTCTGATGTGAACATCAATGATACTTCACTGAGCCTCTTACAGGACAAAACTGAAGAAAAAAAGAATAATCTGTGTTATGCAGCTCCAGCAAAACTATTAAACCGAGAATAAATCATTTTGAGAGAGAGAGGATAATCAGCCAAAGCAATAGCGTCTTTGGAGAGTAAGTTAAAAAAACCGTGGCTCTCGTGGCATTTGTTACAGACTTTAGACTCCCATTATATCAGACAGAAATCTGACCTCATGGAAACAGCTATACTTGTTTTATAGACCCAAACTAAATAGAGTACTGACTCTTGGTCATTTGCAGCGTGATTTGCAGTAACTGGGAAAAAAAAATTGGTGGTAGATTTCAAGTTGTCTGATTTATAAAAAAACAAAAAAACAGTTTCCGACCAATTTGACAGAATTTCTTAATACAAATGTAGTCCTGGTATGTGATTATGTGCTAATGTAAGGATGCACATGACTCAGATGCAGGTTTAGATGCAAGTGGGTGAAATTGAATCTTACGGCGAGCTAATTTATGCTTTAAAAGCTCAACTGCCCTGTTTTTTCTTTCTCTTCCACATACCTGTCGCTAGATTCATGATGCGATAATGAAGGTTGATGGTGGTATGGGTCAGGAGGGGAATTTGGGGAGAGGGTATGTTTCCAGGGATGGGTAAAATAAGCGGAATGGTGGAGATGGTGACGCATGGGAGGAGCGGGAGATTTAGAGTAGCCATGTGAGAACCCACTCAAGTTTTCAAGAGGAAAAGTACTGCTCTGTTTTTCCTGCTAGCAGGTAACAAAGCCATACCTTCAGTTTGAACTCCAGCTGAGCACTGTAGCCCGTTTTCTCACAGGCGATGGTGATCTGACCACCGAGCTCCAGGGTCATAGTTCCGTACAGTATGCCTAAAAGATCACATGCAAACTCGTTGAGAACAGACGACTGGAAAAAAAAAACCCTAAACGCAAACCAAGAGCATGAATTCTCTGTGAAGCCTGCTGTGAGGTAAGAAAGCACACCCACCTTTACAGTGAGCGTAGGGCATGTTCATGACGTAGTCCTCTCCTCGGTTCAAGAAGGTAAGGCGGGCCTCTCCGTCTAATATAGCCGACAGGGAGTTTCCTAAAACGAAGTGGACCGTGGTCAGCTGTCAGAGGAGCTAAAAAACCCTCACTTAACTTGAGATGAACGGCGGCTCGTGCTGTCCGCACCATAAAACTTGGACTTAGCCAGGATGCTCCCGCTGAGGCAGAATCCATCTTTCCTGTTGCTGACGTAGAAGGCTGACACTGGTGGGTGGTGGGAGACCTGAAAGAGAAAAGGTGAGTCAGCCAAGCAACAGCTGTCATCCATAAATAAGTCGATATATATATAGTTAATACGGACATATAAAAGGTGATTTATTTAGGTACTTGTTAAAGGGGGCAGCGAGAAACCTGACAAACTGGACTCTGGCAGGGATAGTGTTACCTGCTCGGCGATATAGAAGGTCTTGCTGTTGGTCTTCTGATGGAGCCACATGCAACGGAAGGTCTCTCCGATAATGGGGTTGTAAGGCTTCTTTAACCCCTGAGGAACCAGAATGTTAAAAAGAGGGGTGCATTAACCACACAAACACAAAAATAAAATGTCAATATAATTTATTTAAAACAGACACAAGTGGAGACAATGGACATGGTTGAACTCACCTTTGGCTTTTTGTAAAATCCAGAGACGTACCATTTCACCACCTTCTTCATCCGATTGTAGGCATTCTCTTCAACAGCAGCCCTGAAAGATACATTTATTTGAGTATGATGCTCATCTTTAACTATGGTTTAATAAGCTAGCGTATATAATATAAGTGTGCACTATTCCTTTGAATAAAATGTAGAGACATCTGAAAATCTTACTCTGACAAGAAGTCTGCATGGTAGTAGTAATCAGACAGTTTGTCCAGGAAGGATCGAGGCTCCAGAATGAAAGTGGGAAGGACGACTTTGGAAAGGTCCATTCCAGGCCGAACCTGCTTTAGCAGGGTCCAGATCAGAGATTTATTCTCTTCTGAAACGGTTTCTGTCTGAGCAGCCTCGCCGGCCTGTAAAAAGAGTTTTGAAACAGTCAATGTGAGGGATTTTTGCTGGATCTAACCTGCTCTTATTAGCAATACAAACCCCTGTTTTTTTTCAATTTCCCCTTTTTTTTGCCTTGGGTTCAGTTTCTGTTTAATTAGTGAGCTGATAGACTCATATTTCATCAGTATGGAAATTCGTGTTCGCGCTTTCACGCTTGTCATATTATCTATCCCGAGGCGCCGGGAGACGCCCACGTGCACCAAAAGCGCACAGGCTGTGATCAAAGACTGCCGGCGTCACATCAGCAGCAGCCCCAGAAGAACATGCTAATCTAAACCCCTCAGTTGAGAAGACTTAAAAACAACTGCGTATTGAAGATGATTTTAGTTGAGTTAAAGATGAAAATGGAAGTTAAAAATCCCAGTAGACCACGAACTAACCTAATCTCATTCACTTCATAGTCAGACATGAGAGTAAATTGTGAATGATGCTTTGCTTCATACCTCCCCTAACTCCTCGTGGGATTGTTCCAGGTACGGGGTTTCGCGCAGATGTTCGTTTGGATCCAGGTCCACATACGAGTCGTCTTGGCGCTCCGACGTGTCACTGTCGCTCTCCTCGCTTTTCTCCAGGCCCTCCGGGTCCGATTCCTCATGGTCCTGCTCTCCCTCACGGTCCGATTTATCCGAGTACAGGTCCGGGTCTTTCAAGTGGTCACTATCGTTGAACCTGAGGGAGCAGGGTTTAAGGGCTGGTCAGCTACAATTTTACAGTGTTGAGCAGCTCCTAATGACACGTTTCAAACTAATACAGATAAAATTTGAATTTTTTTATCTGAAACATTTTTATTGAAATTCTTCCTTTTATTTTTTGTTAACAACAGAACACTAAATGCAAATTATGAGAATAAAATCTAAGTAAATTCGTCAGACTGAACATCAAACTGAACAGAAGAGAAGCATTTTTCACATAGATAATAAGTATATAAATAGAATGAAACACTAAAATAACTATGTTTATCTATGTTTGCACCCTCTTAATATGAACGTTGGCTGGAAAGTTGGGTGACGCCTCTGGACATTTGAATGTTTTAGCAGCGAATTAAAAAATAAAGGTTCAGTGCTATTCTTAATTTTTGGTCCTGGTGCTGTTCCATCAGTGGTTATCATCACGAAAAACGCTCAAAAACATGGCAGACCTATCTGCTTTTGTCAGTGACTCTTCAAAACGATGCGCTGCTTTGTCGCTAAGCTACACAGAGTGCCGCATTCGTGGTGGAAGACGCTGGAGGGGTTTCTGAAATCCTGAAAAACTATATGTTCTGCACAACTGTGATTAGCCTACAGCAGGCTAGGCTAATTGAATAAGCCTGGTTTAAGAGGTGGTGGTGGAGGTGGAGAGGACGGTTGTTAAACAGATAAAGAGAAGAAAAAAAAGCTCACTGGAAACCGTGTATGTTGTGCGCTCTGAGTAGGCTATAGAAGTTAATGGAGTGGTCTCCACCAGTGGATACTGTGCTCATGTCCTCCTTCCCCTCGCGAATCATGGTCCTCTTCAGCAGGCTGGAGCACTTCAGGGCCAGCTCTAAGGCGTCCATCCAGCACCGGCCTGGGAGGTGAGCGCATTCCAAAATAATTGCTTGTGTCAATGTATGGCAGTCAAAACATTCTGAGTATAACAGTTTAATATTCTGCAAAAAACTAAAAATGTATTAACATCTGACATTTTTGCACAAAAATACAATTTGATTTTTGGTCAATTATAATGAAATGGTTTCTCTGTTAAATGTTTAAAAAAAATAACAATAATGTTTTAATAAAAAAGATTCATTTTGGCCTGTGTCTGTAAACTATTATCAGAACATATCAATGGCCATTGGTCTTTTCAGCTGTTTTTCTTCTTCCGTCAATCTTTTTTCACAGTTTAGTAAGCCTGACCCCTGGTGTTGCTTTACAGTTACAGAACCATGGAGAGAGCCTCAGCAGAGATGTTTCAGCACCATAGACAGAGGCAGAAAACGGCCGCTCTGTAAACTGCTTGGAAGTCCTGGAATTTCTATTGAACTTCCTAATACGTTCTGCAGGATTATCAGTTTGTCGTGCACATAGTTTAGGTGATGAGGAGTGAGCTACGGAACTCTGGACTGGTGAAACCAATGTTGTCATATTAGAAATACAGATCTTTCAAATCAACCTGTAGTAAAAAACATTAGAGTGTCATAAATGTTTGTCAAATAAAAAAATAAAATAAATAAATGGTAGAATGGTAGAACCTAGCAATGTTGAAAGCCATTTTTATTATTTTGTCTCAATAATTCATGGTCAAATTCTGCTGACAGATCAGGGAAACTGGCTGTGTAATTGACAGCCTGTCTCTTACCATCAGACTCAGAGGCAGCGCGAAAGATGAGATGACTGCTGGGTAATGGCTGCGTGATAGAACCCACGGCTTCTCCTTTTGGACCCTAATGGTAGGAAGAGACAGAGGGAGGGGCCGCAAGTTAAAAATTGGTACAGCGTTGACAAGGGATGCGGATGTTTTGTGTTAGTCCTCTAAATGAATAACCATAACTGTAATATTAAACAGGTATGTGTGCAAAAAAAAAAAAAAGCTGGCATCATTATGAAAAGGGGACAGATGCAGAGTGAGTGAAGAGCTTCTTTTGGCAGTGAAGAGGATGAAAAAGGGAGCTGTCGCGAAAAACAACAGACCCTTTCCTATAAAATAAACATAGTCAACGACACTTGTGAGACTGGTGATGAATACCGGGCGACAGCCAGAGTGGACACTCAAGCAGGGCCGAAAGACGTGGCCTGCCAAATATGAAAATGCCTGCCAGAATGAATAATTTCCTCTGTCTGTTCCACATTAAACGAAGATAAGCTGCAAATTATACGGTGAATATTGACATCTCCTTCACTATCCAATCCGCAGGGAACAAAGGATCTTGTTTTGAGCATACAATGCTCCTCTCCCTCTCTTATTATCTGCTTTTGTTTCTCTGCTTTCAGATTCATCTGCCTGCAGTTAAAAAAATACAAGAGCACATTCTCCTTTTATTGATTGACACTTTCTAAATCTATCTATTCATTCAAAATCTCTTTTGGAAAAAAAACCCAAACAGATCAGGTTTGTTTCCAATACCGATGTACAGTCACATGAAGCAGATTTAAAGGAAATTCAAACAACATATTATGGATGTGCTCATTTCCACCCTTATTGGTAGCAGGATGGAAAAACTGCTACAATTCTTTTGTTTGTTTAATTCAGACTGTGGCTTTTTTTGTTTCCAATGACTTAACTTTGTTACTAATTCAACAGTGTCTCCTTTTTAAATACTTTTCTATGAAAAAAACAGCATTATTGGTAAATCTTTGAGCCGACTGTTTGGCATTATATAATTGTAATTGAACTGCATTATGATGAATTGGATATAATTGGCTTGAATTGTATTGTATTTTTGCCAAGTTCCAAGAAGGTGAACATTTGTTGTGATTTTTGCACTATATAAATAATGTCAAATTGAATTAGCTAATGCTTCCAGAATGATGATTTGCTGCCATTTTATTTAATAAATGTGTTACGGAAGAACTACTTTTATAGGTTCTGAATGTTGCTGAGATTCAAAGACGAACACACAAGTTGAATCCAAATTATGTCTGTGGGATCAACTAGAAATGAGATGTTATCAAGACAAAAAGAGGCAATGCAAAATATTAAGTTTTCAGTTTTGTGTCAAAACAACTGTTTAGTTATTTATTTTAATTTATATTTAAAAAAAAACATATTTAGTATGAATCAGGTTTCTTTTAAAAGGTGATAAAAAATATATTTTCTCACTTTGCCAACAGGTGCCTTAAAAAATTCCCCAAGTATATTGCATGTTTATCGATGTGTGGTATTTTCTGACCTTGACAGCCCAGATGGACTGCTCCAGCGGGTGAAAGAGCTTGAAGCAAAAACCGTCCTTCTTCGAGGGCCTCTCGATCAGCTCGCAGGCGTTGAGCAGCACTGTCCCCACCCACTGTCCATTTTTGTGAGTTTTATAGATGAGAAGGACACCCGGCTTCAGCACACACCACAATTTGGTCCAGCTCTTTAGAGTGCCACGGATCTGGAAACACAGAGAAATGTCAGGTGGTTAAAAAGCCTTAAAATTAGAACCTCAACGTGGCAATGGGTTGTTCCAAAAATGATGGTATGACTAATAAGAGAGAGGGAAAGAATAAACCATATGAACTGACAATTATTTCTACAAGTCTCCCTAAGCCTGTAAAATGAATCTGTACTTTCAATGCGTGCAGTTCGCCACCTCTGGTACACAGTCGGATCTCTAGATCTCTGAAGCTTTTATCATGTTCTGATATTCACAAAACAAAAATGCAGTTTTTGCCAAATACGCCTCTTTTCAGACCCCTTAATCTTACTGAATTGTTGCAAATGAAACTAAATTATTCATTGAACACATTTATCCAGCTGTGTTTCTTTGACTTATTTATGGTTTTAGTTGGCAAATTCAAAATGATAATTTTTTATGTAGATTGAAATGCCTAATTTTACACTTTTGATGTTTTTTTTGTTTCTCTTAGTGATTTTTAAAAAACTACAACTACAAATCACTGTATTCTGTTAAGACTCTAAACAGCATGGCTTTTTCTGAAACTTTTTTTGGGTTTGGTGTCTCACCTTAAGCCAGTCAGCCATGACAATGACTGAAGGGTCTGTGATGGTGCTGAGCAGCTCCTTGGTCGCCCTCTTCTTCTCCTCCCTGTAGTTCTTCTTCTGCACCTACAGAGAGCACAGGGATGATGAATAATGCAAAAAGCAACAGTGAATGTTCACACGCATCTTCTTTCCGATTTACATTTGGCACAAAAATAACTCCTCAGTGACTGTTTAGTGAGGAATCATTTATCTTTTATTGACCCTTTAATGTGCAATACAATCTGCTGGGTTTGTGGCTGGTACTGTATTCAAATGAAGAAATATAAAACATAAAAAAATCTGTGAAAAAACACAATTTAAATCAAGAATATTGTTCAGGCATCTGTGAACAGTCACCACACAACATCCCACATGAAAGTGTATTTTTAAGACTCATTATGCATGCGCTGAGAATTAGCGTCCGGATATGCGAGACTTAAGCTGCTTTCTGCTAACTTACCTTAAGGGACTCCTTCTTGGTGAGCTTTCCTCCAGAAGCCGACACATCCTTGTCTGAGCCATTGTACAGTTTGGTTTCAGACTGAAACAAAAAGCATAAAGAGCCGAAAATCAGAGCTGATCTACCTCTCATAAATATGAGATGGTTAGATGTTATCTGGGATCAAAAAGTGTAAAACCATTTTTGAGTGGTTTCTTTTTAATATCCTGTATGTAAATGAATAAGAGAGAATAAATTTAAAATTGCGGGATAAATCTTCCTGGTGCCAACCAATGGCGTGGCTAGCCTTTTTTAAAAGGTTGTTCGAGCTCCCCTAAATTTCAATCTATTTCAGTTCATTCAACCCAAATTTATCTAAATCCAACAGAGCCACCAAAGAAAAGCCTTTCTCAGATAAAGAAGGATATGAGTATCGATGTAAATTTGATATGAACAATAAATGACTATCTTTTAAATGTCTCTCTCCTCCAGGATACAGCTGTTGGCAAAAATTGAACAAAGTTCATGTTTTTTTTGGCTATAACAGCTGGGGGTAACAAAGCTAAGCGTATTTACTCATATAAGAGTATTGTTAATTTAAAATAATACTTTCAAAGGAAAGGAATCATGCAAAAAAAATAAGCAGGAGTAAAAAAGTACGTAGTTAACCCCTGTTGATTTACTGATCTTACAAACAGGGGATTAAAGACAAATTCAATGTCAAACGAGACCTTTTAGAAAACTAATGATAAATAAAATCTTTAAAATCCACACCAAGAAATTTTTTCTCTCAAGTTTTTTTTTTACCCCCAATCAATTAATCCGTTAAAAAACAAAAAAAATATATATATATTTAGCGAAAAGATAAGTAAAATGGCAAGTATGTGCGTATGGGTTTGTGATTTGCTAAAATCGGCCTCCAACCCATAATCTAAAGTAAGGAGTTTAATAAATCTTTTTACCCACACAGGCGCCTTAACTCATATTTAAAAAGGAGCTCTCTCTGGTGAAAACTTTTCAGACTTGCGCATGCTTGACGTGGGCATTGAAAGAGAAACGAGACGGGCACTCCTCCGCACTGCGCTCGCATGAAAGGAGGGAGGGGTTTGAAGTCAAACTGATAAATGTTTGATGTGGGGCACAGTGCGTGCGATGTGTGAGTCATCATCTCAATGTAGGCTATCTCACGCCTGAGGCAAGAGGGAGGGGGGGAAGCCAGGGGAAGTAAAACGTGCACTCGTTTTTATATATACTAGTCTTATTTCAACACTGAAGGCAGCTGGTCACTCCTTTTCAGCCAATCATGGCACATACTCATACCTTGCTTTTAGATATGGAATTTGAGTCCTCTTTCAAGGGCAGAGGCAAAAGGTCCTCCTTCCCTCTCTCGAAACCTGGAAAGACAAAAAAAATCTAAATGAAATCCTCAGTTTATCGGTTGTTGCTGATCAGATCTGCTTCATCTGATCGTACTCGTGGATATTGACCCAGATCAACACTTTAATCAGCAGTTTTTAAACAGCCTATTTCAAACAGGCAGCGAGGAGGTGGGGGATTAGTGCACACCTTTCCACATCTCTAATCCTGTCATTTTGTAAACACAAACATGGCTCTCAAACAGCTAGGCTTAAAGTCACATCGCATGAAAAATAAGCAGCTCAGATCTTGTTGAGAAGGAAAATAAGTCATTGGGATTTTATGGCAGAGGGTGTAATGAGGAAAAAAAACAGACAGGATTCGCACAGCAGATCTAGAGTTGTAGAGATGAAACAAAAGCTAATCAAAGTTTTAAGGAGCGTGCATTTGTGTTTGGAAAAGGAAATTATAGCCCAAGGCACCATTTACATCCTTTTTTCTTACCATAACTACTTTTTACCTTTTAAAAGCTGCAACTTTTATGATTGTCAATGAGATTAAAAAAAAAAAATGGTACTGTTACAAACATGAATGTTTAGCCATTTAAAACCGGATGAAGAAGGTATGTAGAGGTTTAAAACAAAACTTTATGAAGTCTTTAAATAAAAAACTAACATGTAAACATAGATTTAGTTGTTGTTTGTTTTGTTCTGTTTCTAGATGCTTGTAAAGCAAAAACACTTGAACTTTATTCTGACTTTGCTGCTCTCCTGTTAATATAAATAAAGTATTAATGTAAATGTCAACTGAAACATGCTTGATATTTGACACTTAACATTAAATATGAGGTGACAAGTTTAAAAAACGCATTCAACAACCGTTGATAAATTTTTTCTCCGTATACATCGGTTCTTTGTGCCATGATTGCAACATTTATGACTCCTCCAACACTTTACCAAGTGTCTGACTCGCCAACTGGAGTTAGAATGTCAATCCTTGGAGCAAGCTGTCCTTGAGTGCAACTGGAAGCAAGCCACAGAATGAAAGGCAACAAGCTGGCGTCTGCTACGAGTGCCTGATCCGGACCGAGCTCAAATACTGGTGAAGGGTTTCAATCTGGGGTTAAAAGGGGAGACAGAAAGTGAAACGCGAACTAAGGCAATCATAATCAAGCCACTGAAAGGAGGCTATGTCTCTCGAAAGGAATGAAAGTCAGATGAGCACAGATCGCCGCATTTAGCATATTAGCATAATCGTGTCTTTATTAGTGGTCTACTTTCTAACCAATTAGTCAAAACAAGGTGACAGATCCCCCGCTGAGATCACAGCAGTGGGTGAGACTGGTGGTTTTAAGATGACAGAGAGCCTGTAAATATTTTATGGCTTCTGTCTCCGAGCGGATCAGTATTCAGCCGTGGGAATGAAGAAGCAGCTACACAAGGTTTGATCTTGAATGTGATATTTGTCTTCCTGAGTGGAGCAATAAGCAACTGAGAGGGGACATCCAGCAAATGGTAGCAGCTCAGACCCGAATCAAAATTTTGTTTGGATGCCGGTTGTTTTTTTTGTTTTTTTTGTAGAAATGTGTTGCCAGGGCAACAGAACACAGAACCCCTTATACTGTGTAGCTGCCTTCAAATGTGTACAATGGAGATGTTTGGAAGAATGGATGGGTAATTCGATCCAGCCTTGTCCCGAGATTGCTGTTAAGTAATCAGGAAACCATCTGCTTAATACGCCTTCACCAGGCCTGAAATGTGTGACGGTTTGAGAGCCTAACACAACGCGCAATAGGCTGGAGGTTATGCAGAAGATAAACTGTGGATTTTCAACGGGCTGATAATAGCAGAGTAGGTCTGTCTGTCTCTGTACATACTTACAACAGCAGGGAACCAACGGAAAAGCAGCCTAAAGGTCTGAGGAAAGGTCAAGCTCCCACCGGCACATAAATACAGAAATTCAATTAAGAGGCAGCACCTAATTCTAAGGAATAAACATTTTGTCGCTTTCTATGGATATCTACTCAGCCCTACCCGCCTCGCCACGACCGATTGTGGTGTTTTCCATTACAATGAGGTCCTGACAAAAAGACGGACTGGCCATGACACAATTTGACACAACCACGAGACTGAAATGAAGGCTATTGCAGCAACAATGAACCAGCTGAGCCTCAGCGATGATTCGTGTGCTGGGGATTTATAACACTGATGATTACAGAAATAATAAAAGTGGATGTGAGTTGTTGCTGCATTTTTAAAATGAAATGAAAAAAAAAAGTGAATAGGTCTCTTCAGCCTGACTTAGACCACTTGGAGCCTTGGCCCTGAAGAAACTAAATTTGTAACTGTTAAGACGCACCAGCCCCCAATGTAATAGCAAACAAAAAATACACAACTAGTAGAGTGGAAAAACCCCATTTGGCTCAGATGAATTTGTTTTTTTTTCTTTTTTACCAAAATCAAATCAAATAATATAGGATTCAATTATATTGATAAAATAGAAATTGTTAGACTTGTGCTATAGTTACTCACTTTAGCATTGTATGCTATAACATAATACTTGTAAGTGACTGATTGTCTTATTCCTTTTAGAACTATCCTCTTGTGTTAAACCCTCTGGCTGTGCCCACAGATTCTCCTTCTCTCTGTTACAGTACATACACGTCCTCAGGGTCAACAACCACAGGCACACGTTCTTATAACATTCCAATAAAATTCTGAATGAATGAATTAGGAGTTGGCCTGTCTTCCTACTGTACGGGGCAGGCCCAGCCCAGAAGATAAATGTCCATCACACCAAGATTTTGGGGCTCTTGCCGGCTGAGATCCTCAGGGAGCTTTGTCAGTGAGAGCCCAGTGCTGATTTACTTTACCTGTGACCAATAAATCCCATATTTGTACTCTTAATCTGCTCTGGTTTATTCTCAGGCTTCCAACCAAAGTATGTGGTTAACAAAATGATCATTGAAGACAGACTACAGAATAAAACATAAATGTAAAAAACACTTTACCAATAACGTGGAAAATCTAACAGAGAAAGAGAGGTGGGGGATAAATGTAATGTAGAGATCTCCATGAATGAATTAGTATGGTTTCTTTGTTTGTTTCTCTGTGTTTTGCTGTTGTTAGCTTGACAACTGGTTCACAAATGATGTCACATGCAGCATCAGTAGGTCATGAGGGCAAGCACTATCAGCTGACAAAATGTAAACACAGAAAAACACACCCAACGCGATCAACTTATGAGGACCCAGAGGCATCATCCAAGCCTTTTTCTCACCCGATACCACCTCTATATTAAGGCTTTCGGTCGGAACATATAGTTATTAGGTTGAGCAGATTTGTTACGTCTTACATTTGTTTGATGCAGTCGAGCCTCGCTGAAATAATCATCAGTGATCTCACAATTCTTATGATAAATCATTGAAACTTCCATCTCCTGTGGATCCCACAAATATTCTTTTCAATTAATCTACATTAGATGTCTTATACCAGTAATTATTTAGGCCAAGGAACCCAAGAGGACCAATCAACTGCTCCAACATGCAAACAGTTTTTCTGTTGCTATGGATACGTTTAGTAACAAATGTAAGAAGCTTTGTCAGGGTTATCAACAGAAATCATTACAGTTGTAAGGCATCCAAAATATTTAAAAAAGAATCTCATTAGAAAATCATACAAACTCAAACACATGCAAACACAATAAAAAATTGATAAGTCTGTGCATATGTGATGCACACATCCTGGTTGCTGGGTTCGTTAATGACCTCGTGGGGTTGTGAGGGGGATGTAAACACCCCTCAGTTTCATGTTGGACACACTCACATTTGTATTAACACCCTGTTGCCATGTATTAGCTTCCTTGGGTTTTTGTCAACTAAAGATGGATCCTATTTAGTTGGTTAATACATTTAATTTTTTTTCAGTAAATGTTTTGGTTTGGTTATAACCACTCACTCTCTGATTTGGCGATCAGCACATTCATGGGGGTGGGTCCATGAGTGTTGCTTTTTTTATTTGTTTTTTTCATTAGTATTGATTATTTTGGTCTAGGTAAATGGTATTAGGTGTCAGTCATTGAATATATTGTATTATATTGGGGTGGAGGGGGATCGATGCATGCTGAAAATGACACAAAAAAAAGTTTAAAAAAACACCCATAGCTATGCCAACACTGGAGTCAACATTAACTCTCATCTGAGGGTTAAACCTTACAAAGATTTTTTTTTTTAAAGAACCTTTTTTCCCTATTCTTCTTCCAACTGCAATATTCAATTATCAATGTTGAGTTCAGTGTCCGTCATGGCCTCGGGAAACCTGAAATCAAACTGATAACCAATAACTAATTGCTTATGGTTCTTATGAAGGTTTCTTTTCTATCTGCAGTTGCCTTGTGTGCACTCAGGATGTGGGATTGGATCGAAGAGAAGTTTCAGTAGTCAGTAGTTCAGTTGTCAGATTAACTAATTCTGATTGTGCTAAATCACTTTGAAGCAGTCCTTTTGAAGTGTCTTTTGATTACATTATTGTCGAGACGAATTACTTTTAACTGACTTGTAAATAAAACTGAATTGGTAATGCACTGCAAAGTTCCTGGCAAGAGCTAGACCAAGAAATAACAGGAGCGTCCTCTGGTCTTATGGGGATTTCTTTTAAAATTGTAACGATTTAAAATGCTTATTCCCCTAAAGTGGTCTCATAAAGTTAAACTAAAGGGGCTTCTGTGGATCAACGCAGATATTGAAAACAACCCTCTCAACAGCATTATGGAGGCGGTCCTCTCACTGTTTCTCTTATTTGCTCCTTTTTTTAAAAAACAGTTTATGCCCTTATAATGAATCGACTGCAATTAACGCAACTAAATGATCAAACTTAAAAAATAATGCATCTACAAGGATTCATGTCAATTACACTTAGCTCTTGAGAGCTCTTACTAGGATTTCCATTAACTCAAGCACATCTAATTTTACATCCTAGAGATTGCTCATGTCTATATTTTATGCTAACATGTGAGTATAAAATTAGATATAGATCAAGAAAAGAAGTAACTGTCTTTCCCATTTCCTGTTTAATGAATGCCAACTTCAGCTACTTTTGAAATGAAGGTGTTGATATTGATGTTAATATAAGTTGATGTTAACTGGTTGGTAATAACTGCCTCTGTTGTACCATAAGAGTAACTTCACCAGCTTTCTCCACGCATAACAGTTTGTTGCGGCAAAGAGCCACGGACACACACAAGACCCGTGGATGATTTTACTTATCAACATATCAGTTTGCCATGAGCAACACGAACAAAGCCCACAGAGAGTGATTAACTGGCCCATTTGAAGCTGAGATAAACATGAAAATCTAGATCAACGCATACAACCACAATATGATACTATGTAGTGCAAATAAAATGAAGAAAATACATATTTGTACAGCAAGCTATGAATAACAAACAAAGAGCGTTAAGAAACTGTTGTAATAAAAACTGAACAATGAAGATGAAAACATGGCTCTATCTTAGGTTTCTAATCAGCTGTTAACAAGGTGGGTAAAATGAAGCCGCGGGTGCTCCGTCAGCCAAACCCCACGGTGAAACGCAATCCTTTAATAGCCTCTTTATCACCTGATGTAAACTGGGTTTGTGGTTTTTTATTACAACTTATCTTACAATCAAATTGTTGAACCTTCCTCTAGTTTGTCTGAGCTCTTGGCTTCAGGGGATTTAAAGACTGATAAGATTGACATGTTGCTTGGTGCTAAATTAGCTGCTGTAAAATTACAACAACCTCTCATGTCATTGAATATAACTAAAAATAGCCCATTATTAACCACAGGCTTCAAAACGCAATACGTGACTGGTGATCAGTAACCAGCAACCACTTATCAGCTCCTACAAATCGTGTTGGGAGAATCTTTGAATAACCATGAAAACGCATATATAACAAAATATGATACTATGTAGAATCTACATTGTACATTAGTGATGTAAACATATTGTACATCTACAATAGGTGCAACATTTATCCACAGAGGCTTTGGTAGCAATTTTCTTGTTTAAAACCATTTTTTTATTTATGAATTCGTAAATTAATTAAACCACATGAACATATTGGTTATCTTCACAATATCCTTCCTTGGGGAGTTTACACTGAAAGCTTTCCTCCTGTAGTCTGATGTAAAGAGACTTAATAAAGAAAAATAGGCAACCAACCAAAGTGTTTATAGAATCACGTCTACACAGAGTCACATTCAATTAAATAAAAAATAAAAAACATATTTCAAAGGGGAATTAAATATGCCAGAATTTCAACATTGGCAGGAAAGACTTCCTGTATCTTTACTTAATGCAGAACACTTGACTGATGGCAAAGAAGATCTTTTAAGCAAGTGTAATACATTTTATGTACGGGGGAAATAAGAAAAGCTTCTGGGAAATATTCAGAGGGATAAGGATCAGCTGGCAAACACCTTCAAGCGTTTGTAACCCTGTTGTAAATAAAAGGGTGACACTTATGCTGACAGATGCCACAGGGGCAAAACTAGGTCTGATCTTCCTGGAAAACACTCTTTTTCTCCCTCGCTGATCAATTACCGGTAATCCAAATTTACTGCCGTCTGTGATGTCCTTGTGACGCCTTGGAGCTAGTAATTGCCTTTTATCTTGGCAACACCAGCGTAAAAGATGACCTTTAAGCCAAAATCCTCCATCTTCGGCTCTTAATGTACCCTCCCAACTTAATCTTTACTTTTCATTAGCGACATCCTCAAAGACTAATGAGAACATCATAGTCGCTGTGTCAGACAAGATAAAAAAACACTCTTTTTGCTGCAAACTTTGCCGTACTGGCTGCTCTTAATGTAGAGAACATGTTGGCTAAAAGCTGTCCCAAATAATCTTATAATAAGAACGACAACGACACAAGTCTTGCGCTCGCTGTGTGTGGATGAAAGTCGGGACCTGTGCCTTTGTGGGTGAGGCTCAAGTTTGTAGGTGAGTCACGATATACTGCAGACTGACGGAGACATGCCCCTTTAAAAAAAAAAAAGGAAAAAAAACTGCAATGATCTCACTGCATCAAAAAATTACAGGCAGGGGAGCAAGAAAAATACTGAGAGGACTGCAACAGCATAGACTTTCCCCACATTAATAATCTCCTCCGCAAAATCACAACAGTCACACGAGCGAAGCAGGAAAAAGAAATGCCAGTCGAATTGTTTCCTGTTTGAGGAGCGTGTTTTCAGGATATCATGTACTCTCTTATTTGAAGTAGGATGTCTGGAATGTATTTAAGATTTACATATATTTAATGATATTTTCAACCTCTTAGAGGTGTAGAACACATATGATGAAGCTATCAAACTCATATAAAGGGACCTGATGATCCCTTTGAGGCTCATCAAAAACACAAGACAGATGCCAAGAGGCAGCGCGTCCACTTTTGATATGACTCGACATCATGTTCTGGTTTACTTAGCGAGGTTGGGGGAGAGAAGATGACAGCTGTTGTGGCAACAGGTGAGCAGAGATCACCAAATGGATGGAAAGGCTAGTACTATGTGAATGTCAAAAATCAAAACCAAAATTCCCAGAGTTCTTATGTAGAGAAGGGGGGAAATAGTTATAGAAAAGAGTTCAAACTGATATCCAGGTATAAAAAAGATCCCCACTTAATGTAATGTAAAAACATAATTTTCACATGTTTTCTGCATCAATTCTTCTCATTCATGCAATGATATAACTTTTTTTTTTTAAAGGATAAGAATTCTAGTGATGGTCTGCCAGGTCCCAGTCACCTCAGTGATTTATTCTAATTTTGCCCCCCAAGGCTACAGCTTTTTCCATCCTCTTCTTCTCATTATAAGTCTCCCGAGGTCTCTCGGTCTCTCCATGGCTACAGAGGAAGCAGCGGTAAACAACGCAGATCAAACCGGACCGGACCACATAAAAGGGTTTTCTCTGTCACTTTTCAGTCGATACCAGTTTGTAAATGGTCAAGCGAGGATTCCGATTTAAACTGAACCTGGAGTTCTACACAGAACCAGACCTCCACAGCTGGGGGATGAGTGGCAATGGCAGGCTTGATGAGACAAAAGCACGTTATCTGTGATGTGGAGGAGCATTTTGAACCAGACAAGTCTGAAAAAGATTAGGTTACTATGGCTGCCTCTTTGTGCGGGTGAGCTATTTATATTTTATTTGGTCTGGCCTTCTGTGTACTGTGCCAGGTATTGGACTCTTTCTGAGCCCTTGCACTTAAAGGCATATTTGCTCGGCTTCCGACATCAATTAAAAGATTGAAGAGGATCAAACTGCAATGTTTCGCAGTTGGCTTTTGACTGCTGAAAGGAGGATGGCCATCATAAACCAACAGACAGGTCAAACAAACAATGACAATTTTAATCATGGATTAGCATTTTAGTGTTTTGCTTAAAAACATAAAAGTAGTCAACAGCTTGCTTTAGAGTATGAAATATATTGCACTACACTTATCATTTTCATTTCTGTTATTCTAAAAACAATTCCTTAAAATCAGAAGCAAACCACCCCCCCTCTCTCTGCTTATGTTTGTGTCTTATAAAGGGATTAATAAGAAGCAATGTAAAGGGAATACTTGCTGTTTGAATTGGGTGTTAATTCTAATGAACTACAATTAAATCATTCTCCTGAGTGGCATAATACTCCTGTTAGCACTCATTGGTAAACCACACGTTTCACTGGTAATTACATTTCTTACAGGACTCCCAGCCGCAGTCACAATCGCATTCGGAAGACAAATATTGGGAAACAATTAGTCAGCGGCAAGGGAGACCACAAAGGAGAGTCTCAGCGTGTGCCAGGAATCTACCACCACGCAAAGAAAAACCTGAGTCACCATCCATACACCAGTTATTTTCTGCACAACACAACCTAAAAGAGGTTGTTGTTTTTTTTCCCAACAGAAATGGAGACTTGTAGGTGTGGGAGTAAAACTGGAGAAGAAAAAGAGGAAATAAGATAAGTGAACGCATGTGAAAAATAAATAAAAAAACGCCTAAAGCTGCCTCATGCAGTGGCTCCAGAAGCCAGCAACACTTTGCTGAATGTCAGCGGAAAACAAGGATGAATGAGCTGGAGGCCGGGAACAGAGAACAACATGAGTCAGACGCTGTCTTGCAGATCGTGATATTTGTTAAGCTTTCAGAGGGGTGGGTCACCGGAGCAAATCTCCAGCCTGCGGAAACAGAAACAGGATCTGCCCTCACCAGCTGCTCCGGAGGCCGAGACGGCCTGAGCAGAGCCCCGAGAGCTAGAAGTTACAAATACTGCACCGAAGGCAGGCTACGGAACTATGTTTGTGCACATGCAGCCTTTCCTGGGTTTAAAAGTTAAAAATAGCCACGGGCAAAGGTGGAGGGAGAGGAGACGTCCTCTCTTTGAAAGCTCAGATGGCGGCCAGCTGTCCGCCTCCAGGTTCGCAGCCTTTTCGGCGGGGCTGAACAAAAAGCGCCGCATTAACAAACGGTCGCGGGGCCGACTTAATCTGCAGTATTCTGCAGGATTAGGTGCACTTTTTGAAAATGAGGATTATCACCGCACTTTCGCAGAGGTATCACTGGAACCCGTGCATGGTTAAACCGGCTTGAGCCCCGCCGGCCCCAGCAACGCGTCAGCAGAGCACTCACATCTTGTTCTGAACATCCAATAAATAAACAAACAAACATACTTTAGGCTCAAACAAACAGTTGTGACCTCAGAGGTTGTGCCATTTTGATAATAACTGACTGTTGCCCCTTATGTATCACTGCCTGGCCAATGTTCACGAACAGCAGAAGAAGAAAAATGTTTTTTTAGGATGAATTAAACATACATTGTCATTAATAACAATTGTTTTTGTCCATTTCTAGTGTTCAAAATGTTTGTTTGAAATATTTTACTGCTACTGTTCACAAAGAGTAACAGTAGAAGAAGATATTGTTTTTTTTTAAGAAAAACATTTAATTATTTGTATAACTTTTTGTGTCAAAAACACTGAATATCTAACCCGTGACGATTTAAACATGTATTTTCTGTCAAAACAAATGTTTTGGACCATTTCCAATATTAAAAAGTTGTATTTTTATCCGTTTTGGAGACTTGTGTTTCTGACTCACTTCACATGACAAAAACATGACTTATGAGATTCAAATGACAATACTAGATAATTTATATAATTCCGTTTCTTTTTGTTGTTGTTTTTTGGCAGCTTTTTGAACTGATGGTTGAATTATGGCATGTCGTTCATGCTAGCCCAGACTAGCTTGATGCAGTTCAAACAGAATCAATTAATTTTCGGTTCAAAGTGTGGGCACGCGACCCGAAGCGCGCGGAGAACCACCGCGCGCGTGAAGCTTCATCCCGGCGGCATGCTAACAAAGTCAGAATTACAGGTCCGCTTAAGAAAAGCGTGCACCGTGTACCCGTCGGGAGCGCTATCGTGCACCCACCTGGCAGCGAGATGGGTGACAGCTCGTTATAGCCCCCGAACGAGGCGTTGCGGATGAGCCTGCGTCCGTCCGGGTGCGCGGGCCGAGCCGACGTCGTCCCGCCGCACGTGGAGAAGCGGCGGCGGCTCAACAGGCTCTCCTCCTTCATCATGGGGGCCGGCGGCCGCTCCCCTCGGAGCGCGAGGGGGTTGGAGGAGGAAAGAGGGGTCGGGGTGGTGGTAATGGGGCAGCACGAGGTGTATGTTTGTGGGGGGAGAGGGGTCGGCGTGGAGGCCTCAAGGGGTGGAGGTGGAGGGTCGAAACGGTCCTATCCGATCGGCCCCGCTCAGCTGGCGAGCAAGTGGATAAATCAAGCAACACACACACACAGACACGCGCACACGCACACAAACACACACAGGGGCTCAGATCGCAAGCAATGAACCGGAGCAGAGCAGCGTTTTTCCTCCAGCTCCCGTCAGCCGACTGCGCTGCTCTGCCTGCCTCTGTGAGTGAGAGCCCGTAAGTACTCCATAACAAATAAGCCGAGCCCCGCCTTCCTGCTCTCCTCCGGATGGGAGGGGAGCCGCATCTTAGCTTGGAAAAAAAAAAGAGGAGGCTCTCTTGCTCCACCATCCCACCTTTGACTCCAGCTAAATCCATGTCTGCGTTGTTTTTTTCTGTTTTCATTCAAAAGGGACATTTCACTGCTCTCCCACCTCGGTGGATTAGTCATGGAGGTGGCATCGTTCTGACATTTAGGTACTCATTTGACAGCACCAGATGATGATTGGGGGAGGGTTTTACCCTGCTAATTGCTCATTCTGAGCGAACCCAGTTAACAAGTTCAACATTTTAACTGACACTAACGCAGCATTACAAAAAAACAACCTTACTTCCATCCATCCATCCATTATCGTAACTGCTTATTCCCTAATGGGGTACCGGGGGACTGGAGCCTATCCCAGTGGGCGAGAGACGGGGTACACCCTGGATGGTCTGCCAGTCCATCGCTGGGTAAAACCTAACTTGTTTCCAATAAATGAACCTTCCTCTTCCTCTTCTTCGTCTCCTTATCGGACCCGTTTATATATGTCAAAACTTTGGCTTTTTTTCATATTATTGACTGAAAATGACCTGGATTGTTCCAAGCTATACTCTTGTTGGTAATAAAAAAATATCGACACGTGCCTCTGGCTCAAAATATAGTCAAAATAATTTTCCACTTACTTTTGTGACAGCCCTCATTTAGAAATGATGCGTCCAATTTGTGTAAAAGCAACAGGCATGATTAAATATTTTGACTATAATTTGGATCAGATGAACATATTAGTCGGGACATTTTTTGTTGCATACTTGTTGAAAGTTTTTGTGTATGTTTATTTTATCATTTTTTAATAAAATGGTATAGTAAGGACTTATTCCATGTAGTTTCCCAGCAAATATGTGGGTAAAAACAAGTTGTGACCTTTTAAGTTGTGAAAAACAACAGTAAAGTTAACGAAACCTTTTTATCTGAACTTGTGAAAAATATTCACAAACTCTGAAATACCATATCCGGAAGGAGTCAACTATTCGAGTTTGTAGCTTAAATTTGAATCAGTCCCAATCTTGCCTTTTTTTAAAGTCAAGATTAATAAAGCTGACGGAGTAGGGACAAAAGCTCCTCGGTAGCTTGCGAAGAAAGCGTTCTTCTTGGTGTTTTGTACATTAGTCTCAGCTGCTTCCCCCAAACCTAGCCTAGAAAAGACTATTTTCTCCCCCAAAGACTTAAAGTAACTTCCGATAGGCTGTGATTAAGCAAACCCCTATGTGAGAATGAACTGCTCTCAAGAGATTGTGGAGTTAATGCTGCTCACAACAGCTGGTGCAAATGTCCTGATCAAAAAAAAAGAGGGAAAAAATGGCATGAAATGTCCCTTTTAAATGACCACGTATTTCTAAACGCGTGCGCACACAGATGAACAAAATGAAGCTCTGTTGAAGACAGAAGGAAGTGTGTAGTCCCGCCATAGTCCAGGTGACTCCAGAAGAAAGTTACCCTGATCTAGAAGCGACTTAATTTCACAAACAGCTAGCCAAAGAGTCAAAGTAAGTAATGACAATATAATAAATCTATTCAAATCAACTCTTCTAATTGGTAAATGTCCCCATAAAAAATTAAAGTTCATAAAAGGTTCCAGCTGTATTTTTTAGGGATAAGCTTTAACTGAGTAATGTTGGTATATTTAGATATTTTCAGGTCTAAAAGTGAGACTTTATCTGAGCGCCAATGAATAAGCCGGGCCTAAATCATCCCCAATCAGTTCAAACTTCCTGTCGCCCAACCCGCCTTTTTTTTGTGGTGTCATATCAGTCCTTCCGAAGCTCCTAGCTAGCGTTCTGTGAGCATTTTACCAAGTCTCTACTAACCATCAATGGCAGCAATTCATTAAATGCAGCTTGTAGGAATAACTGTGCTAATCTCCATCAAAAGCACCGACCCTGAGGCAACGGATCCCCGTGCGACTCATAAACCTGCCGCTCTCCACGTCTGAATCAGACGCGCTTTCATTAAAACAGCTAATTAGATGTCCTGCATGTGTGATTCATATCCCAGATCGAATTAACCTGGTTGCAGAGGAAATTTACATTTCTGCTGCGCCAATAGAATTTCAGAGTCATTTGAGAAATATTTTCTAAATATAGTGATCATATAGGTCATTTTTCCAAGTTGTTTCCAGTAAAACTGGGTCTGACTCTTAATAATCAGCGCTGACTGTGGAAACTCTCCTCTGCTTAATTGCCCACCGATAGTTAGTCACATAATGATATGCAGAGCCTTATTGCCTATCATATTTTTGGGATCTCCTGACCAAATGGAGAGCCTGAATGGATACCTGCCAAAACTTTATATGGTGAGCTAGTGTTTGGTCTGGGAAGAATGGGTAAAAATGGAAAATACCCGGTTCTTTTGTTGGCTTAGAGGAAGAGCCATCCCAGACAGATGCTGATTTTTTAAGTCAGCACCTGTAAGTACCAGTAAGTAAGTCATTCTCAGTGGTTATCTGATTTCTGATAACCTCAATCTAGTATTTCTGTTAGCTATCCAAAAATCCTTTCTACAGCTGATGAGCTGCTTGTCCACGATGGCTTAAATACAAAATATCAAGATACTAAATATTAGATGGATAAACAACAACTTTTAAGATGCCAAATATTTTGTATGTGCCATGTTAGATCAAACACACACTTTTGGTCCTTTAACTTTGATATCAGTGCTAATTAATTCATTCTAGCTTGCTAACAAGAGGAACTAAGTTAGCAGATATTTTGCACGTTCACTGTTACCACAAGCACGGTACCATTGAGCTAAGTTTGACATTTTTAGAGCCATGTAGCTCACTTTAAAGTGCTAACAAGTTAGGTTGAGCTAACATACCCAATAATCTGCATGTTAGCCATTAGCACCAGAATGTTACCATTAAGCCTTCTTCTAGAGTGTCTTAATCTTATTAATCAAGACTACATATGCTAAAAAAAAAGAACAGCAAAACCATGATGTTAAAGTCTCTCCTCCTGTCTGATGTTCAGATAGTTAAAACAGCCCAAAAAGCCATTTGTTCTGTGTGTATTAGTTATAAAACATTAAAACAATAATATGTCTGACATGAGACTTTCTGACCACACAGCGGTCCGACCATGACATGACAACCCGTGAAGTGCAATTCCTCTGCTTCCACGGTGCAGACAGTAGGTCACATGCAGATGAACATCTATAGCCTTACATAAAGGCGACAAGGAGACTATAAGCCTGGGATTAGCTTTGAAACAAAGAGGCTTTTTTACAACGCAGACCTATGGGCTGCTTCTGCCGCTCTCCTCACATCTCTAAATGTGCTGTAACGACATTAACAAATTACAGATCTTCCTTCAGTCAGTGCAAGACGTTCAAGTCAGTGTGATCTTCCTTCTGTCCACAAGAGAGTGACCATATAGACAAATAACTACGGAGCAAACACGTTTCTAGAGAGCAAAGCAAAAGCGCCGATCTGAGGGTGCGTGTGAGCTGGGCCGCTGCTTTCTCTGGCTCAATACGTTACATCGATTAATACTGTACCTTGCTTCCTTTAATGCTATCGGTTGAAAGAAAGCGTCCACAGATCAAGCGCAGATATCGGTTTATTTTTCAGCTTCATGCCACGATCGCTCCTAGCTTAAAACCCAAGCACTGCTGGTCCAAAAAGCCATGGTCGTCTGAGCAGTGCTCAGGCCCCAGAACAGAACCGTTGTCCATCATGTCTCCCCCGGTGTACTCGCAGGCTCCTCACAGTGTCCCCGCACATGTCTGTGTAGCTGTTCCAGGTCGCTCTCGGCACTCGGGCGTCTCATTGCTCGGCCACTCATTGGACGAGCGTGGACGTGCAAAACCGCTCTGGAGCAGCAGTGGCTGAGGGTGCTGATAAGACCAGCCCCCTCCATGTTTTTAACCCCGTCTAGCAGGGCCTAATCCCTGCAGCTGATCTTAAATCCATGTTAACCCCACCTGCCCTGGCGCTCCTTTGCTTTTCAACTCTACTTACGGCCCAAGTCACTTTCTTTTTGAATCTCCGCTCTCTTGGCTGCCCACAACACTTTGCAGGGTCTCTGCCTCCTCAAAGCTGACTGGAGATGTCTCATCGGAACAGCTTTTATTTCATTTTTTTATATTTCTATTCTCAGTGGGATCCCCTTGCAGCCAAACCCTATCTACACAGCATGCCTGGGAGGGACAATGCAACCAAACCGAGATTAAATCCAATGATCTAGCAACTGATCCATATACTCCTGAATCCTAAAGCATTTTTTGGAAATAAAAGATTTAGCTGTAGTCAACTAAAGCATTCCATGTGCCATGATTATAAAAGTGTAGTCTTCTGTTTCTTGTTTTTCCCCCTGCCGATACCCAAACCCCCCTAAAAATAGAGTTTGAATTGAAGGGACATCAAAATCAGTGTTGTATTGACCTCGTTGCGACAACAACAACTTGTCCACCCACCCCCACCACCGCCAGTGGATCATTTGGCTGCCTAGTAATCCCATTATTTCCAACCTTTCTTGCAGTATTTACCTTTCTAAGGAGGTCCATGTAAATGTGGCATTAGGTTGGCGTGGTGAAAAACGCCGAAAGCAGGCGGGTAGAAAGCGTTG